CACAAATAGTATCCCTGGGGAACAAGTTCAGGGTTGAGGACAGGAGGATAAAGACATAAAAAAAATGTAAATGTTTATAATAATGGCTAATCAGCTCCTCTACCCCATGCAGGTTTTAGTGGAAGCATAAATCTACCTACAGTCTCTGTGGAGCTAATGTGTAGATTTCATTCCATGAACTTTAGTACCACTCAGAACTTAACCTTAATCTGACGGCATTTTTATAGTATATAAGGTGTGCCACTATGCTACAGTCAATTTTCTCTTTATTCTATTTTCTATTCATATGCTTTCAGGGCAAGCACAGCATGTTACAGATTAAATGCACTCTGTGTATCCTCTAATGGTGACACTGCTTTTGTTCCTCTATTTGTTATCTTTTAATCTAAAATGAAAATAATTCAAGCTAAAAATATGTAGCCTTTTTGTATGGCTCTGTATTGAAAAGGTGAACAAAGGTCTCAAAGAAAACACTTCCTGAACTCAGATGACAGTGTATCATTCTAAATGCTCATGCATGAGGATGTGTAGAGTGGGAACAACGATGTGAAAGAGTCATACTGAGAGACAGACTCATACTGAGTCAGAACATCAGAAATGACAGAGGATAGAGAACTCACTGGAGATCTGAATAGAAATGACTGAAAAGGCTCTTTGAAGATAAATAGCGGAAAAGATGGACAAAGGAAACCACTGGATATTTGGGGATGTTGCAGAAAATTATTTCATATAATCAGCTGGATAATTATGCGTTCTTCTGTATACTTTTCATAGGGGAGTCTAGAGGCAAATTTCTAGACCCAAAGTTTCTGGGAAGTACAAATAAAAAATGAAGGCCATTAGCAATCTCAGAAGAACAAGTCCCTTACAAGCTGAAATTATTGAAGTCAAATTAACCTCCTGGGCTGGAGAAGTTACACCATAACTCCTATAGTAGATGACTGAAGAAAGTACTGAACCAGTAGCAAGTGCTGATTGCTTTGGTGAAGTTGAGACAGGCATAAGGAAGCAACAATTTAATAAAGGAAAAATGCAATAAAACTGAATTAAGGAGACACTGAGGGCAGTGTCAGAATATTATAGATCACCAAATGTATCCTCTATAATGGGAATAAATTTGAGATATCAATATATGGTCATCTTCGTAAAGAAACAGAAACACACAAAAACTGATTGCATAGTCTTAATATGTTACAATTTTGTTTTTTTTGCAGGTGATGATATTTAAACTTAGGAGTGATCAGTGTTTTTGGAATGGCTACAGGCAGTCAATTCAGCGCAGTAGGCATCGTATTTGAGATGATCATGAAATGAATGAGATGTAATCATGAAAATTTTTCTGCCTGCTTACATGTAAAGCTACACCGATTTCCCTGGGACACCATGTAGGTGCAAGACACTGCTTGCAAGCATCAGGCTTCAATGGCAGTATCCCAGTAACAGGAAATGGTTATGGGAAGAGAGACAGTGAGGTGAAGGCTGGTAACTCTGGTTATGCCTTTCACCACATTATTTGGGCCAAACAGAGCTACAGTCCTTCATTCCAGCTCCGGATCATGCCCACATATAGAAATTGAAAAGATGTGGCAAATTAATCAATGTTAATGATCAGTCTTAGCCCACTAGACATATTTAAGACCAAACACATCAAATAATTGAGGGTCTTTAAACATCAGTGAAATTGGTTTGTCCCAGTGAAAGGAGACAGATTACGAGATTTGCTGGAAGATACTTACAAAGTGAATGATTTCATGATTCCCAAGTGTGTTGACCATTGAAATAAATGGAAAAGCAAACAAACTGGAGGAAAGGTGCCTTAATATATAGACAGAACACTTTAGTAATATCCATGTGACAAAAATGTAATGCTATGAGGCATAAAGTTAAAACAAGCTAGCATCTGGGGCTGCATACAGAACAAGAAAGGCGAGCAAAGCTTTAGTGAAGTGGATGTGACAGAAGTAACACAGCGTCATGTCTACTGATCAGGTATATAGATAAATTATGCAACTGAGTCAGAGACAGAAATTGTAGTAATTTCAAGCATTCTATAATTTTGCTCTAACTTTTTTGGAGAACAGGACATTTAAAAAAGCATCAAAATTTTGAAGGGCTGCAAAATATTCAAACATTCAATGACTAACAGGCAATGAAGGTTAACCTGGTGTGGAAAAGATACGGAAGACTACTATTATATTCAGTGAAGAGCTTTATGATTTCTCAATAGTGTAGTGCTTATAATTTAGGACACTTCATACTAATGAAGTCCTTGAACTCTAATGAGTAGCAGATGTATCAGAACAGTACAACTTACTGACTTACACCTTCAGATTCCTTGTTTAAATCTATGACCTGTCATCCGTAATTGAATTACCATTATTTTATCATATCGAGCTTGTTTAAAATAAGATATATAGTCTGGTTTATATCTCAGCTTGACTGATATACATGTCCAAAACTTACTGCTATAAACTGATATTAATTTCTCTCCTGGCTTTCTAAGTAGGGGGGCTAAAGACTAAATGATCAAGGAGGATAAACCACCAGTTAGAAATAACATGAAAGAAAAGGCATGTGTTCAGGAACACAGAGATTTGCACTGGTTTAGTTTTTCCTCTAATAAAGGGATTTTTTCAATGCTGTCAATATAAAAAACTTAATCAACTAGAGAAACAGAAAACCAATAAACTCCTGCAACAAATCCCAATACCAAGCCTCACAAACTAAGACCAAAATGCCAGAACAGTAGTGTATGTTATACAGAGGTCTCAGATAAAGTACCTGGGTGACTTCTTCCCCTGCCTGTTATGGGGAACTTACCCAGATCCCACTGGGAAAAGCAGTAGAAGCTATACATACTAATAATTGTACAGGAAATTGTCTCCTTTGAAGGAGGGAAAATAACCAGCTACTAACAACTGTGCTTCAGAATCTGACAAAAAGGCTTCCAAAGCTCATTGTTCACCTAATATCTTTATACAGAAAACTGAACATCACTAAAAAGACACTTATGCTCTCACCTTTGCTATAAAAAACTGACAAAACTCATTCAGACCTTAACTAGAAGGAAAAATCTTGAAACTGGGACAGAAAATAAAAAATAAAATGAATACTTAAAAAGGTACACAATGAAGGATAGAACCAACCTTCCAGCATTGATAACATTGAGATCAGCTCCTGAGCAAATATCTTCCACAACATATGAATTCTCTGAGCAGGATACATTTAAGGATGTATAGTTAGGCTTGCAAACAGTCAGGAAATACGGTGCCTGATATCCTGTTGATAGCTGTATAATATCAGTAACAAGAGCAGTAGAACAAAGACCAAACACATGAACACCTAGGAAAGAAATCAACAGAGCTTGTTACCTTTATTCTATGCATAAATTAGATTACTTCATTGTGACAAAATACATTCAACAGAATTCTGGTGGCTTGTGTCACTGGACTTGAGAGAATTTAACTGAAAAATAAGATGTATTTTTTTTATGGAAGCTTATTGCAAAGTCGAATTCTTTAATGTAAAAAATTAAGATTATGTTTGTTTTAAAAAAAAGATTTCATTTTGATGGCTTGATGTATTCCAACATATTTTCACAAAAGTGAACTACACTGGAGCTGCTTCAATTTGGAAAGCAGTTTTCTGAACTGGCTAAAGGACAGCCAGCTATTGCAGGAGAGCATATGTGCTCAATCTAGTCCTTGGACTCGCCCACTGGGATACAGGCTTTTAATAACATGGACAGCTGCCCATCAGATCACTGCTCTGAGGACTTGTTCTCTTTTTACCACCAGGGACTCATCAGTTGGTGGTAACTTTGGCTACCTTCATACCCACACCTCTGATCTTTCTTGAGTACCAAGTCCTTGCCACGAGTCCAGATATTTAAGTCTTTTTGGTAACTGATCAATGTTTCTGTCTGGTTAATAATGCCAAATTAACAAGGCAGTTGAAGTAAATGCAATTGTTTTACTGAGCATTTTCAACTGCTTTTCCCCTAAAGATTTACCTCTAATTCCCTACTTGTATTCATATAAACACATTTATTTTTCATTTTAAAACTGAAAGAATGCTAAAGTCATTAAAATATGAAAGAAATAGCAAATTCAGAGTATGAATCAAGAATGAAATTCATGCATCTTTGAGCTTGTCTTTTTTGGTGATGGAATGGGATGCCATACAGGAGGAGAAGTGGAGAGCATGGGGTACCTTTACAGTCCTCCTTGCTGATGTTGTAATCTACAATTCCCTCTGCTTACTTCCCCACTGCTGCTCTTAAGAGGATGCTTTACTGGTCATAGACTGTATAACCTCTCCTGTCATTACCATCCTGCTTGCCAGACTACAGAAACCTAGTGTATATTCCTCCTAACAGCTTTTCAGTCCGCTGTCCTGCAGGTTATCTTTGCCTAGGCTCCCCTCTCTAATGAAATACTTCTGGAAGAGAGAAAACCTTTCCTTTAGCCACTCATTCATAGAGGAAATTAACTGTAAGAAGAGAAACCAAGTCTAGCTGCCTTTTCAAGTTCAGTATTCATAAATGACAATTAAAACAAAGTAAAATAAAACAATTCAACATGTTCCTCTGTGATTAGATTGCCAGATCCTAGCCCTTTTTCAAGAGGTAAATTAACACATCCCAGAAAAAGAATGTGAAATCTACTGACACTGACAAGTTTTTACTGTCATGCTGAATACTATGTCATGTGGGTTGAGTCCTTATGATGCACTGAAGACAGGCAGGGGAAACTATACACTGAAATCATTAAAAGGAAGCCAGCTCAAGGTGGGCAAAGAAGGAAAAGCATTCTTTTAGAAATACTGACAGTAGTACAGGAGAGGAAAGGGAAAATGGAGAGTGTAGATGCTGCATTACTGAGTATGGGGCTGCTCTGTCGCTCCATTTGACAGCTTCTTCTCACATTTTCTGGCAGAAGAAGATCTATGCCAGTGACAGCCCTGCACTGTTCTGAAAGGCTGTTTCGGAGAAGGAAACCTGCATGGCGAAAAGTGAATGTATATGGAAAGCTCTTCTTTGTGACTAACATTTGAAACCCACCAACAAATCTGACAGCTCTTCTCAGAAAAGAATTGAAGTTGCATCCTCCTGCATTAATATTGGCCTCTGTTCCAATCCCATTTCTTCTTTTGGACAGGCAGCAGTAGAGAATTCCTTCTCCTATCATTATCTGCAATGACAAAGGAGCTGTTAAATTAAGTGTAGCAGTTACTCAGAAGACACTCATTGAATTTAAATGGCTGAAATATAACTGTACCACAACCATTGTCATCCACTGACACGTACTTGCCTTTAAAAGATTTGTATCAGTATGTAAACATTCAGTAATGCAACTTAGCCTGAGTGAGGGCAGGCAAGAAGGTGGCACTGACATTAAATGCAAGTGACATACAGTATACAATGCTCAGTGGAATCAAGGTCTTGATCCACAGCTGAAATTTGATGCTTCTACAATAAAAAAGTAATAATTAGAAAATCTCGCCTCTAAAATAATGCAGAACCACTGCAATATCTTAGTGCTCCTGAGGTGGTTTTAGCACTCAGTCTTGGCCTCAAGTTTAGCAATCTCTAGCAACTTCTAATTATGTGGCAGCCTGCTCTTCTGTATTTAATTTAGCTTGGGTTTTAACCAGATCCACAGCAGTAGAAAAAGTACTGTCCTTATGGTCCTTCTGAACACACCAAACAAAGCAGATTATGACTGAAACCCTAGACAAGAGAAGAATATAAATGAAAAATGGTGTTATTTGATGGAAAATCCAGATTCATTTATACATTTGCAGTCTCAAGCTTGATTGTTTTCCTTGTTAAATAGTGCAACAACTTTGAAATCTGTGCAGGGCTTGTACAGAGTTCAGAATAAGGGTTGGGTTGAAATATTGAAATTAATGAGGCAGTTACCACTAAGGAGATTCACCTGGTCTATCCAGAGATGCACTGAAAACCAATATCTGCAATGCACAAGGCTTACAATGCAATGAGATGCTAAAGCATCTGAATTATGCTGAATCTGCTGTAATTACCAGTGAAGTTTGTGCATGCTAAGACCCCTCGCCCTAGGAGAAGTGAGATACAATGGACAAGCTTAGTCTAACTCTTCTTGGGAGCTGGGGTTGTTTAGCCTGGAGAAAAGGAGGCTGAGGGGAGACCTTATCGCCCTCTACAACTACCTGAAAGGAGGCTGTAGCGAGGCGGGGGTTGGTCTCCCCAGTAACTACCGATAGGACAAGAGGAAACGGTCTCAAGTTGCGCCAGGGGAGGTTCAGGTTGGATATTAGGAAGAATTTCTTCACTGTTAGAGTCGTTAGGCATTGGAACGGGCTCCCCAGGGAGGTGGTGGACTCACCATCCCTGAGGGTGTTCAAAAAACATTTAGATGTGGCGCTTCAAGACGTGGTTTAGTGGGTTTAGCAGGCATGGTGGCATTGGGTATACGGTTGGACTTGATGATCTTTGAGGTCTCTTCCAACCATAATGATTCCATAATTCTATGCTTCTTTAGCTGAAGGTTTAATCAATTGAAATTTCCTTTCTTTGCCAGAAAAATTGAAGCAGTGAGGGTTGTCTCATTACATGGAAAAGTCAGTGGTAAGGGCTATTTAAGGAATTTTAGTTAATGAGAACTATGGTCACTATTATCTGTCTCCAGTTGATCAATTTACAGCTGAAACTTCCCGGAGAAATCAGTAGCATTTCAAACTTAAAAAATAGAGAAACTCTTAATAGTTTTTAGCCAAGCTGTAGGGAATGTCTGGCACACAGAGAAACACGAGAGAGGTGGATTAGTCTGTGTGATAGAGGAGAAAACTGGGAAACAGCAAGGCCTATTTAAAGGAAAATTCAGAGGGTGGTATTTCCAAGGAAACAAACTCCCACAGCAGAGGAGACAGTAGGACTGGAACTGCCAGCAGTGAATATCTCTCCTTGCAAATTGATTTCCCAAATCAATATGATCTAATTTCCTGGTGATCTCTGTTAGAAAGCACATTGTTACCCTTAAGTAGGTTTTTAGTCAGTGCCTGATAAGGGTTTGATCCTACACTGATACAATTAAATAAATGGTCCTAACATTTTAAAATTAATAACTAGAGAGAAAATATGTCAGAGGATCAGATTCAGAGTTCTTGAAGCCAATGGAAGTCACGTTGCAATTCCAGTATATCTATATTCCAGACATAAAATATCTGTGTTGGTAATTTCATACAAGTCCAGTTGTTCCACACTGAAGTCTCATGTAGTTTATGAATACATATAGAAAATCTCACATATGCCAGAAGCTATAAGACATATGTCAATAATACAGGTAGTAATTTTCTGTAGCACTTCAGGGCTACAGAACAGACCTGGTTAAAAGCAGTTGCTGCTCAATAATAATGAGCAAAAAAAAAACCCCAAAGGAAAAAGAAACAACCCATAAAGCTTCAAATCCACACAGATCCTTCTGTAATAATGGCTTGGTAAAATAAATTTTAAAAATGCTAGATTTGTTGTAAAAAAACCTTACTATAGACCGAATAGATTTAATATGTTCTCCAGTCTTGGAAAAAAATGAGTATATCAACAAAAATAATATAGAAAAAAATTAAGTCCTATTCTAATATTTATATAAGGCTTTAAGGAGGGATTGAGACTGGAATTCGCTTTTCTCCTCCCCCCCCCCCCCCCCCCCCCGCTCTTCTTTT